CCCCCCCCCCCTGCCCTCCCCGTATCGCAGCCTCACTTTGCTCCTTTCCAGACCCCTCTGCGCCCTCCCCCCTAAGCAAAGGCAGGGCCTGAGCCCCATTCCCCATAACACCGTGAACCCAAACGGCACCGTGAGCCCCAAATCACCACAGCGTGACCCCAACCCACAGCACGACCCCTCCCAGAGCCCCCCGACCCCTCAACCCCCCCCCCCTTGGCAGCACAGCTCCGCCGCCGCAGCGCTTTGAGGTCCTTCTGCTATCGCACAGATCTCCCAAAAGAGGAAGTTTGGTTGTTTGACGGCGACACAAAGCCGCCACCAAACCCACAGCAACCACGGGGGGGGGGGGGGGGGGGGCCAGCAGAACCTCCCCCCCATGGGTCACCATGGGGTGGACGATGGCAGTTTGGCACTGCAGCAGTGGTGCCCCTGGGAGTGGGGACTGAAAATGAGCCCACGGAGCAGAGCCTGGATCGGCCCCGCTGACCCCGGAGGGCAAAGGGTGGAGACCCCGCTGCCCCTCTTTGCGTTTTTGGGGCTTGGTTTGCAGCCCTCAGCTTGGCGACCCAAAATCCACGCTGCCATCACAGCTGGGGAGCAGCAACAAGTGGCTGCATGGCACGCGTGGGTCCCCAGGGGGGTGGGGGTCCCCATGGGGGCAGGAGAAGGGTCCTGGGGTCCCTCTTCCCTGAGCTGTTGGGTTGTCCCATATGGGAGATGCTCGCTGCAGCCCCTGGCTCCATTTGTTCGCTCAGTGCTGTTCAAACCCTTCTGCTTTAATAAGTCACATCCCATGAGATGAAGATCGCTGTGAGACCAAAGAGGCAAAAGGAAAAAGCCCCCGAACCCCCCAAAATCCCAACCCAGAACACAGGGACCCCTCCATCACGATCCCACCCAGCGCCATGGGGCCAGCAGAGCCAAAGCGACGGCACACGGGCGGGCGGCCACCCCAAAACCTCCAGCAGAAGAGGGGTCCGCACGGGGACCCCCCCCACCTCAGCGCCCCTTCTTCCCCTTTTTCCTCTTCTTTTCCCCCTCTGCCTCCTCGGCTGCTCGCTTCTCCTCCTTCAGCTCCTTGTATCTCCATTTGGGCGGCTGGAGCAGCGCTTTGTCCCGGGCGCGGGGTCTCCTCTCCCTCCCGCAGGCCGGAGGAGAGCTGGCTTTGCTCAGCTTGATCCTGGGCACGCGCTCCCCGGGGAAGATGGAGTCGGCGCGGAGCAGCCGGGGCAGGAAGCCCAGGAAGCGGCGACGGCGCGGTGACGTCTCCACCGCCGCTCGGTCCAACGCGACTCGGCCATCGCCAACTTGTGGGTCGTGCCCCACCGCTTGGCCACTGCACGGCGCTGCCCCAGGCTCCTGGAGGATCTCCGCCACTGAAAGCCTCCTCTTGCCCACTTGGGGTGGGCTATCAGGGCAGACGGTCCGGCAAGCGGTGCTCACAAAGGGGCTGGCGAGGGAGGTGGTCATCCTCACCATGTGGTCCAACACGCCGTCCTCCTCCGGGTCGCGGGGGATGCGGAAGGTGAAGAGGGAGCGGATCTTCTCTGCAAGCCGTTGGCTGCGGGATTTGGGGCTCAGGGCTTTGGCCACCAACCCGGCCAGCGCCGGCCATTCGGGGAGGTAATGGGTGCCAAACTGCTCGGCCCGTGGGCGCCGCAGGAGGGTCCGGATGCGGACGGTGGTCTCGAAGCGGCCGGTGAAGGCGGCCCACTCCCTGGCTGTCTTCCCTTTGATGGGGTCAACGGCGTGCAGGTCGGCTCCTGGGGGCAGGAGGGTGCGAGAAGCGTCAGCAAAGCGTCAGACCAACATGGAGCTCATGGGAAGGTCGGGTCAGAAGGGTCCTTAAGGATCAGGGAACCACGGGGTGGTTGGGTTGGAAAGGTCCTTAAAGGTCACAGAACCATGGGTCAGCTGGGTTGGAAAGGTCCTTAAAGATCATAGAAGCATGGGATGGTTGGGTTGGAAGGGTCCTCAAAGGTCACAGAACCATGGCATCACAGGACGCGTTGGGTTGCACCGGTCCTTAGGATCACACACCAGGTTGGGTTCGGGTTCCTTCTGCCCCCCACCACATCAGCGAGCCCAGAGCCCCCTCCCCAGCCCTGAGCCCCCCGGGGCCGAGGCACAAACACCTCCGAGCTGCTCCCACGGCTCTCACCCGCCAGCAGCAGCGCCGTCACGCAGTCGCGCTGGCCCTGCACCGCCGCCTTCATCAGCGCCGTCAGCCCGCGGGCGTCGCGCCGCTCCACGTCCAGCGCCGGGAAGTAATTGAGGAGGTAATTAACGATGGTGACGTGCCCTGAGCAGCAGAGAAAAAAACACCTTGTTTGTGTTGAAGGAGGGATCCTCGGCGACCCCCGCGCGGGTTCGCGGTGCCCACCTGCCTGCGCGGCCATCATCAGCGCCGTGTTGCCCTCCGTGTCCTGCTGGTTGACGTCCACGTGGGGGCAGAGCCGGAGGAGCGGCACGATGTCCACGAAGCCCCGGCAGCAGGCGACCATCAGCCCGTTCTGTTATGGGGGGGGGGGGGGCGGAGATCCGGTCGGGACCCTCCGCCCCACAGCCCGAATCCCAAAGTGGGGAGGTTCTGCCCCGTGGATCCGTGCAGCCCCACTGAATGGGGTCTGGGGGATCCCGACCCACCGCGGGGCTTTGCCATCCCGTCCCTCCGGCTCCTATAGGATCGGCCCGTTCCCAGAGCGGGGCGGGAAGGGGAAGCTCTGCCCCACTGATCCATGCAGCCCCACTGCGTGGTGACTGGGAGACCCCGACCCCTCATGGCCCTGCCACCCCCTCCCTCCTACCCCCTAAGTTCCGCCCCACGGCCCCATGCGAACCCTGGGGTCCCCAACTCCCCATGGCTGCCACCCCTTCCCTCCTACCCCCCAGGTTCTGCCCCATGGCTTCATGTAACCCCTGGAGACCCCAGCTCCCCATGGCTGCCACCCCCTCCCTCCTACCCCCCAAGTTCTGCCCCATGGCCCCACGCGAACCCTGGGGTCCCCAGCTCCCCATGGCTGCTACCCCATCCCTCCTACCTCCCCACGTTCTGCCCCATGGCTTCATGCGAACCCTGGAGACCCCAACTCCCCATGGATCTGGGATCCCACTCCTCCCCTTCCAGCATCCTCCAGGCCCCCCCCACATCCCCCCACTCACCCTGCCGTTGATGTCCACCTCTGTGGCCTCCCCCCTGCCCACCCCACACCGCAGCCGTTCCCGCAGCAGCTGGGCATCGTTGCGCACGCAGCACTGATACAGACTCAGCTCCCCAGGCCCCCCAGCCCCGTGTGGGGGCTCCGAGGGGGGATAGACCGAATCTTCAGAGCAGACGCTGCTGCTGTCTGAGGGCTCCAAGCCGGAGCTGGAATCGTCTTCATCCTCCTCATCCTCGTAGTACAGCTCAGGCTCGGCGGCTGCAGCGCTCTCTGCTCCGCTCATCGGTCATCAGGGCTGGGGGGGACCTGGGCTCAGTGCCGTCTGTCTGGGGTGGGGGTCACGGTCCCAAACTGACCCCAGTGTGGGAATCGGGGGCACGAGATGGGCAGGGAGTGGGGCAAAAACCCAACCCTGTGGCGGCCCTGTGTGGGGCAGCAAAGCCCCTTCTGGGGGGCAGCTATAGGGCAGCAAACTGAGCTGCAGCACAGCAGCTATAGGGCAGCCATAGCGCAGCTATAGGGCAGCCATAGGGCATCTATAGGGCAGCTATAGGGCAACCATATGGCAGCCATGGGGCAGCTATAGGGCAGAGGTGCACCCACAGCAGCTATAGGGCAACCATAGGGCAGCTATAGGGCAGCTATCGGGCAGCCATGGGGCAGCCATGGGGCAGCCATGAGGCAGAGGTACACCCACAGTAGCTATAGGGCAGCTATAGGGCAGTCATAGGGCAGTCATAGGGCAGAGCTGCACCCACAGCAGCTATAGGGCAGGTATAGGGCGGCTATAGGGCAGCCATAGGGCAGCCATAGGGCAGCCATGGGGCAGCCATAGGGCAGAGCTACACTTACAGCAGCTGTAGGGTGAACAGAGCTGCTCTCTGCACCCCCAGCAGCCATAGGGCAGCAGCCGGACCTGCAGCCCCGGTGCCCAGAGCAGCAGCCCAGGATCCCGCAGCCTCATGTGGGGCTTCCAGGCCGCACTTCAACCCTTTGCTCCTCAGCCCCCAACCCCACCGGCGACCTCAGCAGAGGAAATTCTTTGCAGCTCCCTTCAGCTGCGCCTCCCCTCCCCAAAGCCCCCATTGGGGGCGCGCAGCCTCACCTGGCGACGCTCCCACCTTCACTTCAGGTTCCTCGCGGGGCTGCAGGCCATCCCAGCTCCCACCGGGGAGAAAAACCCCCCTGCGGCCCCCGGAATGCCCCCCCCCCAACGTCTGGGGTTCAGCCTCTGCGCCCCCCCTCCCCGGCTGCGATTCCCCTCCCGTCGCCGCGGGCTCAGCCGCTCCGGATCCTTTAATTCCACCTGCTGCCAAAAATGGCTCCGTCCATCCTCAGACGGATCAGGGCAGGATTTACAGCCTGAGCTGCACGATCCTTTGGGGGGTTGGGGGTGTCCGCACCGTGGGGCTGCTCCATAGCCCCCGGC